TATGTTCATTGAAACGAAGAGATGGAAGAAAAAAGGGGCCCAACCGGGATTCGAACCCGGGATCCCTTGCAATTGAGACCAACCCAAAGCAAGTATCTTGCCACTAGACCATTGGGCCATGAACAAGTCTCAAATGTGAACCATTATAATCATTTCATCAGATTGATAGGCCGACTCTACCAGTTTATAGTGCGTACAACCAAGGTAAATCCGCACCTACCCAATCTTGACTCGTCATTTGTCTTTCGACCACTCAAGTTGGAAGAACTGGTTCTGAAGATTCTATCCCGACGGCATAGCGAATTATAAAAACCTCTATTCGACACTGGGTACTCACAGAACATTCGTTCCCTCCAAGTTCCCTCAGGATAGAGACAGGGAACTTGCCGCCTAGCTCTCTTCTTCCGCTGCCCCAATACATACGCTTATATCTACAAAATATAAGTCTATCTGTGAGAGCACGAGCTGCCAGAGCAAGGTGACTCGGCGTCAGGCCACATGATACTACCTCAACTTACTCTAACATACTGACGACTTTTTATCCGTCCAGAACCTTACGACCGTGACCTTTCTCCGTGCACCAATCTCGAATTCCTCATTTTAGAAATGGACACACAATCAGGAGGGTATTACATGATTGACTGGACGAGAATTGCACAGCCATAGGCTTGCTGGATGTACAACGTTCAACCGTTACAGCTGAAAAGACTCGGTGACTCCTGCTTCGTGTAGGATTTCCGAGCCTAGACCATTGAAACTCTCGAGAAAACAAAGATATCAACGCCACCAGCCTACTAGACGGTTTACTGTCACGCTTGGTCTCTCACCTCAATATTGCTTTCTTTGTATTGGAATTTATATCCTGCAACCAAGAGCAACTGAACACGAATGAGGGGAATGTAAGCTGTGATCAGCTATGCCCACAGCTGATCCGACAAAAGCGAGTGCTCCCTATCGCGGCCATTCCAGACGAGGTGACGTCAGTGTCGTGTCATGAACGCTCTGCCACTGGATCATGTTCATCCATCATTCACAGAAATACAGGCCATCTCGTATAGCCAAGCTTAAACGTGCACGCCGTCGCACCGAACAGACAGCTCAATAAGTACTTGTGCGACAGCCTGAGTTGTAGCTTTCTTTCCTACATACTGGCAGTGGTTGGCACTGGTTGCTATTATATTGTTGCCGAACTTTCATGCAAATATCATGTACCTTCGAGAGCAGAAGAACTATGTAGGGGCTGTATAGAACCGCCATGCCTCTCAAGAAGGACTGTACAACGGAAGGGCGAGGGAGAAGGGGGGGAAGGAAATACACCGAATACATATCATGTATATTGTAGCAGAAAGGTATCAGTATCACGCCAGAAATTGGGTATACAGTCCTCGCAGATGCCTAAACCAGGATGAGTAGGGATATACCGAAATACAAGAATTCGCTCCGTCAGTAGTATCTAGTAGGGCCGAGCACGAATAGCCTGCAACAGGAGTCGTTTACGGTACGATTAAACAGACACCTTCCGTAGTCATCGGAACAAACACATCGCAAAGGGGGATATAATAGATATACGATACGATTCGACAAAGCAGTACGACGATATGCTGGACATGGGAGAATAGAGATGACGAGAATGGTGAAATGGTATGATACAACTGTTGAAGTGCAAGTGGAAAAAATATAGTTAGACCATTGATACAGATGACGATTAGGCGAACATAAGGAAGAGCTCGCACCATATACAATAGCTGGACTGCAGCTGCACCGGATTCATAGGAGATAGCCCGCCAGTCCCACCTCTCCGGCTCCGGTTCACCCAGCAGAAGAAACAAGAAAAGAGAGAAGTCCTTAGTCTTTAAAGTCCCATGCGCTCCCTCAACGTCCGATCTCCGCCAGAAGTGTACGAATTTGCGTTGCTGCCTCGTCGCGGCCGCCTGCCACCACCACCACCTCCCCCGCCACCGCTTTGGTTGCCCCCACCATACGCACCATTTCGCTTCGACGACCGATCAGAATCGCGTGCCCGGCCACGATCCCGCTCTCTGTCCTGATTGCGCTCACGATGCGCGCGGCGGTCGCGCTCGCGCTCCTTCGGGACTGGTCGCTCGTGGTGGCGGTTGGACACCGGCGCCCTGTCCCGCTCGCGTTCGCGGTCACGGTCGGGCTCACGGTCCTTGTCCCGCTCTCTGTCGTAGTCGCGACTGCGGTCAGGCGACCAGTGTCCACGGTCGTCGTCGTCGGTCTCCATCTTCGTCTTCCGGTCGGGGACTCTGGGGGAGCGTTCCGCTGAGTCTTGTCGACGCACGGAGCTGCTTTGCGACCGGTTGTTCGTTGTCTGTTGGTTCGAATGTGTCGGTGGAAGCGAGGGAGTCTCGGAGAGTCGGGGCTTTTTGTGTGCACGAGGGCCGGTAGGGGGAAGCTTGCCATTCGTTGGCTGGCTCATGTGAGGAGGGAGGCTGCGGTTGACACGCGAGAGGGGGGACTGGGAAGCAGTACGAGGGTTAGTCGCCTGACTGCTTGTCCGGCCATTGGCTACGATGGTTGTTTGGGCCTTATCCAATTCGTCTCTGTTGACATATGCGTGAGAGATCTCCAAATACATTGGAGAGCAACTACTCACGATAAGGACGTGATAACTTGATGAGAATCTAAGGTTGCAGGACTTCCTGTCAGACTTTGGGCATGGGACGCGAGCGCCAGACGCACCTCTTAGCGCCCCTTCGAGCTTTTGGACGACTCGGCGTAGCGAGCGAACGTCCTCCTTCAGCCTCCCCGTTTCACCAGTCTTGAGTATTTCGTAGAGTTCGTCATTCTCCTCTTGGAGCACTTTGACTCGCTGAGTGAGTGCCGCAGTAACAGTACTAGATGAAGAGGGGGATGTGGCGTCCGAGCGGTCGTTGATGTGAGGAAGCAATAAGGAGACAAGTGGAGGGGGTAGAGAGATAGGGTCCGTCACCACTGGTGCGGGTTGGTTTGAAAGGTACTGCCGGAGATGCACAACCTCGTCCTGAAGGGACGCACGAGGCCAGATACGCGTAATAGTCAACACCTGGATGCGCTGGACACAGCACTGAAGATGGTTGGACGCACCGTGAGGTCCGCGAGCTGCGCGTCGCGCTGTCTGAGGAGGGTCTCGAGCTCAAGCTCGCGAGGCGTCGGTAGATCCATATGTTGCTGCGCGCCCTCGCCGCCGCTCGTCGTCCGTCGCTCGTTCCCCGACGGAGTTCACCGTTGCACAGATGTAGGCACTCGCAACTTGCCGCGCCCTCTTCAGCCGTATATCAGCCACGTGGTGAGGCGCCTCCCGCCCAATGTGGAAGGTCTTGTCGCAAGTACTCACATACTGTGATCAACGTCCACCTCTGGCTCGTTAGTGCTTGTAGCGGGTGTGATACCGTTATGATAATGCTGGGTGGAACGTAGAATGATTCGGAGAAGCACGGAGCCGGATAGTAACGCTGGCATCCGACATTCGAGCGAGGTAAAGCACCAGCAAGTTCAATTAACGCCTGGAGCATACATTACATGTCTACAGTTATGAGCCGGGTATTGGTACAAAATACAACACATGCGGGTATCATATTATCTTTGGTCACATAGCCCATGCGAGAAGCAAAAGTCGAGTCCATGAGTCGATATGAAAGAAAGAGCGCATGTAGGTGGTAACGAATGTGTAAATGCTAGCAAAGCGGACGTGCACCGATTATTCAGAAGGGAAGGAAATGATCAAATGAGCGTTCATGGTCTTATGGGCGCAGAGCGCAGCCTGCCCAGCCGCTTGGGCTTATGGCGATGAATATTGTGAACACCTGTGGTCCCTATCAGCGAACGAACAATACGACACGCCGTATACACATACTATGAGGTATGGTGGTTCCCGGACACAAAGCAGCAAAGCAGGGGAAAGTTCAATGTTCCTCTTACAGGCCGAACATTTTCCTCAAGCTGTCCTTGAAGGAAGGTGTGCTGCTGACTCTCCTCAACGACTTCCTTCCCACCACGCGAAACTCCGCGTCATCGCGGTTCGACGACCTCAACACGTTGCCGAAGTCTTCGAACATGACGTGCGTCTCCCGAGGCGAGTGCGAAAACGTGAAGATGCTGAACGCCTGATACGCGGTTGGCTGGGTGCTGGGAAAGAGCGCATAGCAAGACTGTGCGGAGGCAGCAGGGTAAGGCATGTTTAGTGACTCTCCGAGATTAGCAACAGGGCTAAGGTGCTTGGTAGGCTCTCAAGAGCGGGAACCGTTGGGGCGCCAGCGGATGTGAGGGGTGACAGAGATGTCTGAGGGTGTATCGAAGCTCGTCGTGTATAAGTAGTGAAACCGTGTGCTGTCACGGCGGATGGGTCTGCAAGGATTGAGCGCGAATTGGTATCCACACACGGATCCACAGACAAGTCGATGCCTAAGCCTAGCGATCCCTTGTTCAGAAAACGGTAACGGATCCTGAATAGATCACGAACAGTAGTCCATTTTGGGATGGGAACAAGGGAGGCGACGAAGATGGTTTAGATCCCGGAGTTCGTCTTCATTTGGATGTGTCGCTCATCCCGCCCCTTCTCCCACACGATGCAGACGCCAAAGCGGCCGCAAACCTCTGTAGCAATATACCTGAACTATTTAGACAGGAACCTCTACACCACACGCTAGGAAGCTTGGCGTGTGAACAAATATATGAACTCTTGGTTCTCTTTAACCTAGAAACCCATAGGTTTTAATGTAAGTCGTCATTCGATCGCCACTCACACCTTGTACTTCAATGCATAGGGGCTACTGATGCACGATACAAGCACGCACAGCAGGCGTGGTTGTACTTGCAACGAAGTCGCCCGGGCAACTGACACGAGTTGGTCGTTTACGTTGCTTGAAGCTTCTTCATGAAGGATGGCGTATGTGTCTTTCTAGGTGTATGTATTGAGAACACATACAGTACAACAGCTTCGATAGGAGCATTTTGAGGGTAAGAAGTTCGGCGTGCGTTAGCGAATAGGTGCGGTTACGTGCGGACAAGGTTCTCATCCGCGAACGCGTCGGGAGGGACTTGACCTTGTATTTGTCCAAGGGCACCCTTGAGAATGTACACGAATGGGCCGGATTTTACTGGTGGTGGCGTTGACTG